TACACCAAAGTTATGAAAATGTAATTCTATTACTACACTATTCTCTGAAAACTTGGTAGACATACGATGAGTGCATAAAAACATATAAAAACGGAAATAAGGTAATGTATAAGAACGCCAGTGTATCCATTATGATCGAAAGCCGGGTGGGAAAATCAGATATTGCACTGTATTGAGAGACAACTTTGTGGGTGACAATTACCTAAGATTTCAGAAAAAAATCTTTAGAAACAAAAAAGATATTACAGAATATATAGTGCTGGGGTCCGCGCGGACCCCAGGTGTACTGTTTAGGGTTAATAGTAAATTTATCGTACTAATGGCCAAGATTGTTTTTCTTTTGCAAACGGTTTCAGATTACTGAGGTCGATTGTCTTGATTGTCTGAAACCGGCTGTTTAAATATTAATATAAAGGTTGTTTATGCTTTTTCATGATTATTTACTGCTTTTTGACTTTGTTTAAACGTTTCAAATTTTTAACAAAATCACCCGAATGATGAAAAATTTAACACACTGGAAATACCCATCTGCTTAGTTTCGAAATATCATCACAAACATCAATTTTAGGACTGATTCTTTATGACTTTCACAGTAGTAAAATGTCTGTCACATGTACAAAATACTCCGTAAAAGATGCTCTACGTTCTTTGCCTGATGCTTTGTGCGATGGAATATTCCACTTGCAATTTGCAGAAAAAAATCTACACAGACACCGATTTAGTACGACGGCGTCAGAAACTATAATGGTGCATAGCGCAGCTACCAACCGTTAACCCTTCCTTAGAATTCTAAATTCATTACTTAAAAATAGATTGTTGGGCATTTTCTAACGCTGCACGTTTCTCACGGTTATAAATTGACATTGTCAAGTCAAAGTGCATGGTCATTTGAACTTAAGAGTTTAAGGCACCGGGGCCAAAATGTACATTTTGTTTTGAAATATCAAGAACGAACGTCCCATTTTACTAAAGTTTAAGTAGTGTATGTCAAACGTGTGAAGAACCTTTCATGGGCATGTATCCAAGGCTCCCCCATACCATATTTCAGATCATTTGTTTTTTTGTTTTTTTTTTATTTTATCTATTTTCCGTCATCTTTATACAGGGTGGCCCATTAAGTGATCACACTTCTTTTCAATGGGGCCCTGTTTTACAAACAAAACACAACAGTCACATACAAACAGTAACATAGGCCACAATTAATAATAATGATGACAAGAATAATAACGGAAAAACAGTAAGTAACGAATAACATTGATGAAAAAATAACAAAAACTAGAAATTGTTGAGTCCAGTCATTGTCCAGTCCAAAAATGTAAGGAGGGGTCAGAGGTCAGGCCAATTTTTACATTTCATTTTAAAAGTGGACATGGACGGGCAGATCTTTATATCGTGTGGCAACCTGTTCCAGAGGATAGGGCCTCTATAGGAGAACTTTCGCTTGCCAAATGCAAGGCGCACTAACGGCAGTGCCCTTTTATGTAAGGACACAGGGGCAAGAATGTACATTTTGAGTCAAAAATACCTAAAAATTGCACGTTTCACATACTTTTGAATGACACATGCCTAAAGCTTAAGTAACGTTCTGTGGGCATGTGTCCAAAGATATTCTATCCCGAGTTTCTGGTCATTTGGTCTTTGAAATATGAAGGCATAGGAGCCAAAATGTATATTTTATCCGAAAAAAGCCTAAAAGATCTATTTTACACAATTCTAAAGTGATTTGTGTCAAAAGCGTCACTGCCTTTATATGAACATCTTTCCAAGGCATCCCCATATCAAATTTCAGGTCGTTCGGATTTTATACCGAAGCTACATATCCCAAAATGTACATGTTGGACTTAAACTGGCCAAAAACCCAAATTAAACATTTTTGAAGCGCGTAACAAAAAAAAAAGGAAAAACACCTTGGGGTTTTTGGCCACTCTACCTTCATGCCGAATATCAGGTCATTTGAACAAAAATAAGAAGAAATTGAATCCATTTAACGACATGGCAGGAGGAGAAGGAGACAAAACACGAGGGAAAACAATATATTTCATCCATACCTGACATGTAAATATAATTCCGACTGCTGCAGTAACAATAGTGTGAGTCAAAAACAGCCTGGATACCCATACATAATGAAGGTGAAAAATTGTGGTGAACAACAACAAAAAAATGAATTGCCCTTGTCAACAATCAGAAAACGTCAAATCGTTTCACCCTAACATCTGCTTGAAAAATGCTATTCTAATTAAGGTATAAGAAAACTGTCCGCAAAGCAGATTAATCTTTAGTGCATATCAACGACAGAAACATATGTTTTTAAAAGTGTTCACCAAAGCCACTGAGTTAATGCCTCATAAAATGACTAAAATTTAAAGACGACAAATTTCTCCTTTTAATGGTTCTTTCAACCCCCATGTATACCCTTTAAACATCAATGCCCAAGTCCCAAATTCTTTTATGTAAGACTTAAGACATAGATTTATGTGGAAACAATATTGTTTTCTCTGAGAAATTGCGAGGCAGCGATCGAAATTTTCATAAGAAAAACTTTAGGGATTTTTAGGGTCTCCAAGGGTGTCCCCAGAACTCTGATGCAAAACAAGTTTTAATACTTCCCAATGCCTATCCCACATTCAAAATATGAGCGGATTTGGCTGACCCTTATGTTCCGGCTTTTGGTGATGTTTGCCTGGTTTTCTCATGCAATGACCCTTAAAGCTTTCAAAAGAGCTTTTTAGTTGGGACTTACTTGGTCAAGATCTCGTGTGGAATGCCTCAGACAAAGGTTAAAGTTGCTGCTGCTCTTGTAGGGTGTTGGTCGTTCGGTAGCTGATCCGTAATGCCGTGTGACAAACAACCCAGGATTAGTCATACGTATACATACAGGTGCTGATTGTCTGAAGCCCATTGTTTAAATAACATCAACATTGATGAGGGATCTGCTATCGCCGTCTTCATGTTGATATTTGTTGTGCATGAAGGTCCAACATTTTATTATCGACGGCAAAAAAGTATCAATCATTACAGCAGCTATAGTTCAGGATACCATGAAAGTTCATCTGTGTTGGTACAAGTCATTATGAAATAAAGACGAAGCTTTGACTTCCAACACTTAGACTACAGAAATGGGACTTACCCCAAATTTTCGGTTGACTCCATCAACCTTGCTCACGGAATGGACCCGTCTACTCTTTGAACGTGACGTCAGAGACACGTGACGTAGTAGCGGGTCATACGTGCCATATAACTTGTGTCGCCCCCCGTCTCTTCATGGTAGGTCTGTTAGCTCTAATGTGGACCGCTTCCTTCACTCTTGCAAAGAATTCCGAATCGAGGATGGAAACTATTGGACTTACAGAATTTACTCCTTCATTATAGAAGTCATCATTTTCATAGATTATATAACTTTATTGCACGGCAACTAAATTGACCATCTTCATCTAACTAACAGGAAATGCCCTATGACAATAATTACAAGCTATTGCAGTAATAATGCAAATTAGGGCCGAATTTGGATAGTTATGTTGTACCGTGTTTATTAAGTTGTAGTTTAGCGTATAGGACACGTCCTCTGTGCAGTTTTGCCACAGTGGAGTGCCATAAACAACTTCAAATTAGTCTAATGATTGTGTGACCCCTAAGTCGTTTGAATATCCGTTTTGAGCGAGCTGTTTACTCTCTGTAGCCTTTTTTTACGTTGGGAGGTTTCTTAATTAAACATTCAAATCAACGAGCCGGAGAAGATGCTGCTAGGGTATCCACATTCCAACTTGTTCGCCGATTTGTCGACACCTATTCAATTATAATGAATACCTTAACCCTATTCAGACGGGGGGGTGCTTTTGAGACCCGCGCCAACTTTCATCTCGGATAGCGTCTGAACGGTTTGCGCTAGAACCATCAAATTTGGTGACTTTTCCTATAATATATCTGGCGACAATTTACTTTTATTAGATAAGTTAATGGGTTTTGGGTTGCCATGGCAACGGGTTAAGTTATTTTTTCTTTGAAAATAAACCAAGTTTGGTTTAAACATTACAATTTTCAGGCTTTTAATTACACGTTTTTGTAAACATCAATAACATCTAATACAACAGTTACTATACGTAATTTCTACGTATTTTTTTTATTTATGCTACCTTATGGATCATAGGCCAAAATCCACTTAAATGGACCATCACTGACTTAAATTTTTACAGTCTGAAGAATGGACATATTCACGGAGCATATTTTTCACGGAGGTGAGGGGGGGGGGAGCAAGAGACAAATGATTTGATAAAGGTAATGATGAGATCACGGTACAAAGGTGACCGTAAAACAGTGAACATAAAAGTACCGTTAAAATCAGATATTACAGCATTCTTTCACAAAGAGGCGTACAGAATGAAGGACGTAAAGACTGCATCAAATATCATTTGCATGTACTTTACTATGATAATCACACTTTGTGTACTAAACGTTATAATTCTAGCCTTCATCACATCTACATACAAATAATATCACACTGACTCTTCCTTTAGTTCCTAGTCCTTCCATTCTAAAACAACAGATAACTGTTGATTTTTTTACAGAAAATACAATTAACACTTCTGCAATGACACCATGAGCAGTTATGTACAACTACACACCTCAGAATTCAAAGGCGGTTATATATATACCGGCTATACAGATACAGATTTTATGGTTGACATCCTCTAGAGACCCCCAAACTAGTGTGAACGGGTAAAACAAAACAGCGAAACAATGCTCCTAAATCACAGTAATACAAAGCTGGTGTTGTGAGTTTGTGGTAGTACATAAAACTTTTACGACAAGCCGGTACATGTTAGTACTTCGCAGCATTTATGGGTACTGATTTCTGGAGTTAGGTATAGCCTGAGTACCGTCCTCCATATAGTTACCGCCGGCTTCCTAGTGTCGCTAGCTTCTATGGACTATTGAGGATGGTACCCAACATGAGCCCCGGTGTAGGTGATTTTGTTAACAGGTAAAATTCAAAATGACCTTAATTAGGCAGGAGAGGATTGGCAGATGTACCGCTTTTTCTGTGAACATTCAGCGTCGTCCCACATTGGATCGGTGGTACGTCCTGAGTACCAGTACTGGATACATAGCCAATCCCCGTTCCTTAGGTTTTTTACGTCAGTTGGTTCACCTGGGTGCCAACCCTAAAGGAGAGGATCAAGTCAACAACGTTAGGCACGTCAGGATTACAAGTTCTATCTGACTGAAAAAAATTATATTTAATTGTATGATAAGTATACATGCCAAGAACCAGTAAATGTAAATAACAGGGAAGAAACATTTTGCATAGAAAAAAACTGCGCCAGGTACCCATTGCCAAAAGGCCCTTTTCCCACTTAAAATCAAGACCATAACATGGCCACAAAACGCAACGTTATACCTATGGCACAACTGCAGTACAAACTCGCTAGATTACATCCATTATCATTGTCCTAACGCCAAATACCTACCAAATACAATTACAATACTTACAACTCACCCCGAGTTATGAACGGTTAAAAATCGGCAATCCCCATATATGATGTACTTGTACCTCAGACATAGCCTTCTCGACGGAGGCAATAAGAATGTACGATATATACAAGGTATATGTTAATCAAGTATCATTTTTTGTCAACAGAACACGTACCCGGTACTGTCCCAGCAGGGGTACCCCGTCTACCCAGTTATATTCTTTTGATCCAAACCAGAAGCCAGTTACGGTCACCGTCAGCCCGATCCAAAATTCGGAGTAGCCGAGCTGAGCAGTGATTTTGACATGGTGTCTTAGAGCGTGGTCAAATTCTTCCGTTCTAGGCATGGCCAGAGTAGCGCCTTCGTCCACACAGGCCTGCTTTGCATCCCAAAAGGACTTTGGGCTGGAAACGAGTTTGATGCAGGGCCACCCGACTCGTATGTAGCCATCCTGGCAGCCCCCATTTCGCATGTTCCAGGTAACTGCATAATTAAAGAATTGGAAACAATGGGCGTAATATTAGCAAAAGAGAAGTGCGACGTTTTAGTAACTTACAGATTAGGCCACACCGACTTAATTTTATGGATGACATCCTCTGAAGACCCCCAAACTAGTGCGCGCGGGCGAAAAAAATAAAAATCCGGCCAAAAATAAAAATGCTACAAAACCACAGGAATACAAACGTGGTATTGTGAATTTGGCGCATTACATAGCGACGTATACGACAGGCCGACACATGCTGGATTTTTGCGGAATATATGAATCGACACTGCTGTACGTATATATTGAGTTCTTGAGTCTTGGAGCTTCGGAATACGTGATCTTTTTTTTTTTTTTTTTTGTAGATCGGGCGAAAATCAATGGATGTCATCCATAAATTTAAATCGGTGTGGCCTTAGATGAGAAAAAAGAGATATTTCCCAATTACAAATCTAAACAGATTACGCAAACATTTCAGAAAGATGAGATCTGCTTCTTGAGTAATCATGAATTTGTTGTAGTTGATTCATGCTGATTTTCTCAGTTCCGTTCCCGCTCCCCTGTCATTATTGTAAAGAGGTCTAATAAGTTTTAGTTGTTGTCCAGCAAACAGAACGTATACATGGTGCTATATAAACGGAATGTAGTGAAGGCCTACCCGAAAAGACTTGGACTTCACACAGGCTCAGAATCCGGCAGTTGTGGTTGTAGGGAAGACGAACGGCCACATACCGTCCCTTCATCCCCTGACATGAGACCGAAATGGACGGCCGTTTCACGTCGATTTGATGATAATCGCCACACATGGGGTTCGTGCTGACCTGGTCGGAATCCCCGATGTGGATGTTGAAGGGGTTGAGTCGTTCCTGACAACAGTCCATCCGGTTGAAGATGACAACTCTGTAGATATTGAACACAAAAAGTCAAGTGATTGGCAATTGAAGTTTATGCTATATTCTTACAGACGTTCTTAAAGTTAAGCTTCTATAACTTTGATAGATCCCCAGTCGTTTTCCAAGAAACCGTAAAAGTAAATTGTAGAATAATGTCTAACCTTCAAACCACCGTATGGGGTCAAAACTGACCCTAGGCGTATGTGCCATTTTAGCATTTCTTGTCGAAAACGAAATTCCTTCTATGAGTTTGTTTGTATATATGTAATTTCTGCACCTAAAACTAGATCCCTTCAGGCAGCCATGTTGATGACCTTTGACCCCATGTCCATACGCAACAAGGTACAATGTTGAGTTTTCTGAGTCAGTTTTGACCCCATAGGGAAAATTTGGACGCAAACCTACGGTGGTTTGAGGGTTAAAGAGCACTGTGTGAGTGTGTGCGTGTTTGCGTTTCTGTGACTCACATTTTGCATGTATCCAACCACCACCAGATGTATATATGGTACACGTACCTGCCAATCGCATACTGCTGGCCAAGATCCACCCACCAGCTTGCATTCATCTCTCCCGGTAAATTTTTGGTGTGTGTGCAAGACCCGTAGTGGTGGTTGGAGGCAGTGTTCCCGTCTACAGCAAGCCTGGCATTTCCCGGGAGGTCCTCATTAAAGCTGAATGTGCTGGATTGGGCCGTTCTCTTCCCCAGGGCGATATTGACACCTGCTTCAGACGAAATCATTTTTATTAGCAGTGTCAATGTTACATGTGTACAGGTGACTTAAGTCAACGGCTTACTTGGTTTTGGGCCAAATACAAGTAAATTTACATTTGCATACAGGCACCAAGGGCTATACATTAATTCCTAGGTTTTTTCCATGTATACTACATTCATCAAAACTTAATCTTTATACCTTTTTACTGCAATCCTATTCAACCTGTGAATTTTCCATCACGCTGGCCTTTCTGGACTATTTCGACATACTCTAAACACTGGCCTTTCTAACATTTCCACATCCGTTGCCTACAGAAGATATTGGGACTCAAGTGGTGGCACAAAGTCCCTCACACAGAGATCCGACGTAGAGCCAATATCGAGCCCCTAGCGGCCATACTTCTGCAGAGGCAACTCAGATGGGTAGGACATGTGATCCGCATGCCTGAAAACCGGCTACCAAGGCAGATGCTGTACGGTGAGCTTTCCACGGGCAAACGCACCGCAGGTGGCCAGCGCAAGAGGTACAAGGATTACTTGAAAAGTAACCTGAAGTCCTGTGGCATCGAGCCACAAAGGCTTGAACGACTAGCAGCTGACAGAAACAGTTGGAGACAGGTATGCTCGACAGCTACCGAATCGTACACAGCCAGCTACAACCAGAGGGCGGAGACCAGCAGAGCAAGAAGACACATGCCAGCTCAGCAGCAGGGTCAGCACATCTGCGAGATATGCGGCCGCGTCTTCGCAGCTAGAATCGGCCTAATCAGCCATCGAAGAATACATCGAGTGAGAGTGACAGAGAGTCAACAATGAGGGACGTCATCTTCGAAACCGAAGGACAGCCTTAAGCAAGTAAGTAAGGCCTTTCTATTCTATCTTTATGTAAATTGCTCCGTCACTCTGGCCTTTCTGAGCTATTCTGACATACATTTCCCAATCGCTCTGCCCTTTCGAATCAGTCCTGTACCATCTGTGTCGAGGCTGATTAATACCAACAAAAATGCACTGTAAATCAACCACACTCAGGTGTTTTATTTTTGTAATATTTTGTTTTGATATTACTGTCTTGTTAATATTTTATGATATTCCTTTAAATTGAGCTGTGCATTATTTCATGTCTATATAAGTGAAACGTACTTCAGCCTGATGACTACGATGTTTTACATGATGAACTAGTCATTCATTCATTCATTTCTGGACAATTCTGACATACTCTGAACATTCTCACTTTCAGATTCTGATATTGTGAACAAGAGTATGTGCCATTGTATGGTATGGTATGGTATGGTATGGTATGGTATGGTATGGTATGGTATGGTGTAAGAATAAATGTATAAACCTAGGTGGCCAGGTCTATTGGAAACAGAATTGCCTTCAGGACTAAAGCCAATTGGATATATTACTAGTATGTTGTTAGGAAATATATTAGTGAGCTTTGAGGGAAGGCCAAAAAGTGACAATAACATACCTGTTACAGATGAAGAGGGGATTCATGTAGCCTGTACCAGGCTTCGTGAGGCGGTTGGAAAGAGTAAAAATCGGCCAAATAGAGACATAACATAACCAGGAAAGTTGGTCCGGTAGAGAGAATTGCTTGATCGTAGCGACCCCGCAGAGGCTTCGGGTGCGGCATACCGTTCCCTCTACCGAACCAACTCCCCTGGCATGTTATCTCTCTATTTGACCGATTTTTTAAAACTCTTTTCAGCCGCCCTCCGAAGTCTGGTAGAGGCTAGATTTTTATCGGGACCCGCACTATACGGCATAGCAACCTTACAACCTTATGTTACGAAAACGTTGACATTGAGCGTTACATACCTGTCCGAGTTGTAATTCGGTACACGTCATTTGCCCAAGTGCCGCCATCGCCCGCTTGACAGGCGGTGGAACGGCCGTACTTGAAGAAGGTGTTGTGCCCGTCAGCAGACCCGTAACACTGCCCGCCATGTTGTACAGCAAACACGGCAAAGGACCGAGATTTTGCTGCCTGGTAACACTTCTCGACGGCGTTACTCCGTGTTCGGTAGCTGCCCTCCAGACGTGAATCTAGCCCCTCGAGTGTTGGAATGGCACGACTACTGTGGTCCTTCCAGCAACCAAGACTATGGTAGCGATCCCCTGCTTCGGGAAATGAGGTTGCAGCATTTAATTAAATAAAATTTGCCAAAGGTTACGTTTTAGAAGTCGTTTATATGTTTGTGAACAGCTGCAACATAATTGAAAAAAAAATCATGTATGGATCCATAAGGTATTTTATACGTAGCTAGTGACACCAAAAGGAAGGTCAAGTTTAATTTTCGATCCCCTAGTGGATATGAAGTACCAAAGTTAAATCTGTATTTTTTTTCTTCGTAAACAACTTTTTAGAACTACAGTCGTAGGAGATAGCTATAGGGCCACCCGATGCAACGTTATCAGCAGGGTGCGTCAATTCTGAATATTCCAGAACATTATTTTTAAAATGGAGATTTTGTGCACGCGTGTGTGTCCGTGAGCGATAACGAACAAGAGTTCCACGATCTCATACCTTCGCCAAATGATGTTAACCCTTGCGGGTGACGAATTATACAATTTTAATCATTGATTTTGTAAATAAGAGCCTCATTTGCATGGATTATATCAGTTGATCATATTCTCCATCCAATGACAGCCTTATCGTAACAAAAAGGCTATTATAGCACTTCCTCATAAATTATGCAAATCAGGTCAAAATTTGAATAAATTATATTTATTGATGTTATTATTAACTTCCAAATGTGGCAAGTATTAAATTCGGGGTGCAGCAGTTACAACTATGGAATTATAATAATTTGCCATTAATTATGCAAATTAGGTCCTCATTTACATAATCTATATCCTCAGATGTTTTTCTCGTTCTCAAGTAGATGTCACAAGTGTTTCATAGTTCTATTATCGAACAAAGCAGATTTATAGAATATCCTTATTAATTATGCAAATTAGCTCCTGATTTGCATAATTGCCATCTGATTATGTCAAGCATCACTTCAACTACCTACATACCAAAAATCACGACAATACGTCAACCGGTTCTTGAGTTATCGTCCTTCAAATTTTTTTCAACAAATGCTCCTGCAGTTCCAGAACAAGGCGTTAGGGGACCCAAACTCATGTCACTTCTTCCCTACCCCAAGAGCTATCTACCAACCAAAATTCATGACCCTAGCATGTCCAAAACATGAGATATCAAAACCGGAAGTTCAGCTGCAGTACCTAGGAAAGCCACCAGGGGGCCCAAAATCTAATCATTTCTAGGTCTCATAAAGACCTACCCACCTACCAAGTTTCATTCCAATCCATCCACTGCTTCTCGAGTTATCTTGCTAAACCACACACACACAAAACACACCCACACACACACACACACACAGACAAACGCTACTGAAAACATAACCTTCTTGGCGAAGGTAATAATGCAGGGAAAACATTCGTGTAACTGTCGTACCTTCTTGAATCGTTAAAGGTTGTGGCTCTGTATTCTTCTGAATCTGGTCAAATCTGGTCCGTTTGACATTATTTGGGAACACCTGACGGCAAAATAAAAATACATGTTCATTGTCACGTATGAACATGATGTCATTTGAATAATGTTCAGGGCCACACATAATACATGGTGGAATTGTAGTACGCTGGCATTTCCGTTTTAATGTGATGACAATAATAAGGAAGCGTCAAAGTTTTTTTTTTCAAAGTGAAGGCCAGCAATAACAAAGTTACCCCAAATGTTTTGCCTTAGCTTTCAACTTTGGTGAAGTAGCTGGCACATTTGGCAGTGTGGTTACTATTTTCAGTGAAGTAACTTACCTCTGGCGGAGTGGTTGTCATCTTAGGCAGTGTGGTTGCCACCTTGGGCAATGTGGTTGCCACCTTGGGCAACGTGGTTGTCACCTTGGGCAAAGTGGTTGTCACCTTGGGCAGTGTGGTTGTCAGCTCGGGCAGTGTGTTTGTCACCTCAGACAGTGTGGTTGTCACCTCGGACAGTGTAGTTGTCACCTCGGGCAGTGTGGTTGTCACCTCGGGCAGTGTGGTTGTCACCTCGGGCAGTGTAGTTGTCACCTCGGGCAGTGTAGTGGTCACCTCGGGCGATGTAGTTGTCACGTCGGCTGGTGTAGCTGTCCCATTGGGCAGTGTAGTTGTCACCCTGAACAGTGTGGTTTCCACCTTGGGCATTGTTTTAAGATACTGGCTGGTGGTCCGAGCACCCACTTGTAGCAAGAGCAAGTCCTGAGTTCGCAAAAATTTCACGTAATGTCAGAGATCAACATTTCCAATATCATAACATACTAGTTATACATATAAACTGTAATTCTGTTATTTTAGGGCATTTAAAGACCTTTTCGTACTTTAACAATTTGGTAGTTGACGTATATTTCTTGCTGCTCCAACTTGCGACATTTCGAAAGCAAGGCCGTTTCAAGTAGCAAATCTGTCAATGGCACGATATTCGTCGCCACGCCATCAGCTGACTTTTATGTTTTCAGAGCTGTTTGATTGGTTGTATTTATTGTCATAGACATATAAAGCTGACTAAGAAGACCGTATAAATGCTGGGGTACAGTTAAATAAACATTAAGTAGAAGTTTTAGAAGTTAAGAAACACAAATTCTTTATGTAGTAGTCAATGTACAATGAAGTGGTAGGGGACTACCGTGATGGTGTCATTTCTGTTTTCCATTGTCGAACTGTTAGAGGTGACGGGAACTGTTGAAACTGGTCGGCTTGATGTACCCCGCCGTACCGGAGGACTGTTGTGTGAGAAAGGCTGCGTCTCTTGTACGGTCTTGTAATAGGTGACGAGACCAACTCCTACACCAATGAGGGTTGCTAACATAACAGCGATAGCCCATTGCAGACGATAGGAACGGCGAGATGTGTCGTTGGGAATGGCGGAAGTATCTGCAGTATCGGTGCTATCTGCAAGTAGACAATATCTTATATTACTGATTACTGATGCCAATTTGTCTCCTCAGAAGCTCTAAATAACCGTGAAACCCAGCTATTGCATATTGGCTTTTGCTCTGCATTCCATTCTACTTACTAATCACACCCTTCAGCTAAGTGGAAGACCAGAAAACAGTTGCCTGCTTTTTTGTTCAAGAAAATGTGTAGTGTCCGTAGAGAAGTACAAAATTACTCATTAATTGGAATATAAATGCCACGGGGTCATATAAATTCAATAATCTGAAACAACTAAACATGGTGGCCTCATGAAAGAAGCCGGTTTGATAATGGTTGTAAATAAAAAAAAATGACAGTCAAAAATTGAGATTGTATACCATATGAACAAAATATATAAGTGTAATAACATTTTCTGGACCAATGATGCAATCTTCAAGTACATTTGTACCCTCCTTTTAGATCTGTAACGTCATTTCACATTTGAGACAAATCGTCGGAGGTTACAATGAGTATTGTAACAGTTGTTATGTGCCTAATGGGTGGTAGTATCCTGTAGTTTCATTGTGGCGTCGTGTGGCGTAGTGGACAGAGCGTTCGACGCTCAAGCAAGGAGCCCCGGGTTCGATTCCGGGTCGGAGCACAGGGGCATGTCCGAACATGCGCACCGACGTTGTGCCCTTGGGAAAGGCACTTTACACGTATCCCCCCTCAAGTCTCCAACGGCAGTTGTCCTCAGCTGGCGGACGAGAGCAGCGCCAGGCGGGCTGGCGTAGTCAAGGCGGACCTTGAGCGTAACCAAGTCATCCGGCAGCTCGCTGCAGGCATCCCAACCGGAACCAGCACGTCTCCCTCGATATGGATCCGCTGGGGAAGACGGGTGCCCAAGTGTATGGGTCTCAGATTCGCAACCTGTTATCCACCTTAAACAAATCCACGCGAAGGCCACCGTGTCAACTGTGACCCTCACTCAGGTGTAGGGACTGACACGGTCATCCTACTCGGAAAAATCTGTATCTGTATATCTGTACATGAATTTGTATTTATGCATGAATATGTATCTGTACATGAATCTGTATCTGATTGCAAATAAAGATATCGAGTGATTGCCATAGATCCTGTAGTGTCAAAAATGTGAAAAAAGAAATTGACCGAATAAATGGAACACCCTGGTTCACTCCGGTTCACCCTGATCTTTGAATAGCCAACAATATAGGTATCATTCCTTGGTTAACAAGGTTTGTGAGGTAAAATATTAAAATGTAGGAATGCTGTTTTCTTTGGCCCACCTTGTTTTTTTCGCCTTTTTTCGTCATCAATAAAATTAGTGGTCTATAATATAAAAACAATATTTCTTTCATACCTATTGTCTGGACTACGCTCTGGACTGAGCTGATTAAGAAAACACACTGTTTTACAACCATGCCTTTGATGAAAAAGAATAAAAAGAACAATTCTTCTTTGTGAACAAAGCAAAATTGCGAAGAAGTGATGTGTTAATTTCGTTGATTGGTTCCAAACAAACCCTTCATCTCATGCGGTTTTCATCATAACGTGATTCTTTGTTCTCCAGACCAATTATACTGCTGTTTACGTTTACAAGGTGTGGAATTAGTTTGAGTGATTTCATGATGTGAAACTTTCACAGTTGTTGTCAAAATATTTTAGCCAAAAACTATCTAAACTCAATGTTGGTTTTGTTGGTTTATTTTTTGTTGTAAAGAGTAGATGAAAACAAGACACAAAGAGGCTAAAAGTATTGTCATGACGATGACAATATTTTTAAATAATCTGATCTGCATGCTAGTAGATAGAGCCTACAATTTGGAAGTGATTAGAATTTAGTATATGCTGGCAATAGTGACATGAAAAAGATTTTTTTTTTATTTTAAAGAAAAGGCAATGTCATTCAAATCTACTAACGACTTTTTTAGTTATACTAACACACACACACACAAACACGCACACACCACTCATCCACACACACACGCGCGCGCGCGCACATACACACACAACCACGCACACACCACTCATCCACGCACACACACAACCACGCAAAACACCACTCACGCACACACACGCGCGCGCGCGCGCACATACACACACCAACACAACCACGCACACACCACTCATCCACGCACACACACAACGACGCACACACCACTCACACACACACACACGCGCGCGCGCGCGCACATACACACACCAACACAACCACGCACACACCACTCATCCACCCACACACACACACACACACACACACACACACACACACACACACACACACAGGCACACAACTACACAATTTTAGAATTACACAGGTCAACCCAAAAAACATTAACGTTACCGTTGTTTTCGTCCTGTCCTGAGCAACCAGACACAAACATCACGTTGCAAAACCAGTGTTCATTTCCAGGGCGTGTGTTGTTTTTCCCGATATTGGTTTGTTCTTTCCTTCGGGTACCAGTTTGTCGTAGCTCCTCGTCAATTTCATCTTGGTTGGCATACTGGTGAACATTCTTGTCCAGATCTTTATACACGTTATTGACCTCGATGTCACCATCTGCTGTGAAATGTGTTTTTTTTTTAATTCAGCCATGTTTCAGTTATGTTTCAACCTTCATAAATTGATCTAGTAAGGCCAACCGGCCATTAAAGACATGACATATTTGTTGTAGATTATACCATAGAGAAGTCTAGGACAGAATCCTTTGCAAACTGAACACAAGTGTCTAGACCTCACACCTTCGCTAAATAATGTAAACCATTTTGACTGACGAAATTATACATATTTTCATTGATTATAAAAATAACATCCTCATTTTATTTTCATAATGGATTATATAAGTTGGTCATATTCTCCCAATGACAGCCATATCTGAACAGAGAAGGCTGTTGCAGCACTTCTTCTAAATTATATGCAAATGAGGTTATGATTTAAAAATAATAATATTTATTAATGTTCACCTTTGCTTAATTTCTAAATGCTGCAAGTATGGACTGCCTGGCAGTTATCTCTATTAAATTATAGTGATTTACAAATAAGTATGCAAATTAGGACTTCATTAACATAATCTCTCTTTTTTCCTCACTTAATTCTCTCTCTCTCT